TCATTTTCTCCTTCGACGCCGAGAAACAAACACATCTCTCCATAAAAAGTAATGAAGGAATGAAAACATTATTTGAGCATAACTCAGAAAACATACAATTTAGGGTTGATTAAACTCAATATAATTTGAAAGATTTGTATACATGTTTTAATCAATTATTACGGATGAAAATTAATTTCTTCATCTAACAATACATTGCATTTACTTATTTTGATATCATTGGGGGATCTAAGAGGAGAGGGGAGAAGGCTGCTTTCTGGCTGACATCCCCAAAATGGAAAAAAATAATTATTTTTTTTATTGGTTCCTACTTGTTTATGAGAATGATATACACACTAAACATTTAAACAATCACAATATATATATATATATATATATATATATATATATATATATATTTTTTTTTTTTTTTAAATTACAATGCATATACAGCTTCATAGCATAAGCATATGTCAAAAAATACATACATATATAAAAATATTATTTGTTAGAGCATTATTGCTCTTGCACGGGCGGATCTATGGGGGGGGGGGGCTTTCGGGCTGAAGCCCCCCTCCATAATGGTAAAATATAACCATGTTTTATGGAAAAAAAAGTATAAAAATACCTCTTAAATTATTATTGTTCGTGTTACATTATTACTATTATATTATATATTATATTATTATTATAATTACATTTAAAAGGGCTTCAGGAATCACTTAAACACCATTCCATATAGGTAGTTAGTTTCTTTCTGTTTTTCCAAAGTAATTATCGTTATTTTTATGAAAAAAAAGCTTTCGGGCTGAAGCCCTCCCCCCAAAAAAAATTAAATTCTAGATCCGCTAGTGTGCTCTTGTAACTACTTTTTAAATTTATTTTAAGGGCCACTTAAACATTGTTTCATATAGGTATATTTTTTTCTTTTTCTTCCACTTAAAAAAGAAAATATATTACTATTATTAAAAAAATAAATAAATATACTGTTTCTTATTGTATTCTCATCAATTAACTGGCTATACTACGCCGCTAGCGGATCCAGGATTTGATTTTGGATCCCCGAATTTGATTTGGATTTCAGCCCGAAACCTTTTTTTTTCTATAAAAAATGACTATAATTACTTTAGAAAAAATAAATAAAGTTACGAACTATATGAAATGGTGTTGAATTGATTCCTTAAGTCCTTTTAAATGTAATTACACGAACAATAATACTTAAAGAGATAATTTTTTAATATTTTTTTCCATAAAACATGGTTGTATTTTACCATTTTTGGGGAGGATTCAGCCCCAAATCCTCCCCCCCCCCGGACATCCGCCCGTGTACTACGCGAAATATTTGCACGGCCCACCTAGTAATTTGGAATTCGATGACATGAGCAGTGGGGGTCTTAGACATGGCGCCCAGCAATAACGTCATCTCTCCTCCTAAAATTAAATTAATTTTTGATACTGTTTTATATGAAGTAATATTTCAATTTTATTTTATTCAATGTGTATTTAATTCAGTTGCTTTATTAATAGGCTAAAATCATTTTTCTTGTAATGGGCGTCCCCTTTCAGCACGGAGCCTCGTTTTGTCCGGTCCTAAGGTACTGGACATGAGCTATGTTCAAATGTTTTTGTTAAACTAATTCCAGTCAAAACAATGGTGCGCTATTACAGTTTTGTCGATTCTTTTCAAAAAGGTAATTGAAAAGAACTCTGAAATTTATTTGTAAATTTCGAATTTATTTTTCACCGTATCAAAAGATGGGTTCAATAACATTAGTTGTTAACTTTTGATTTAACTCGCGGTTGAATAAACAAAAACAAGTATTAGATTATGAAGAAGACAAAAGGGATAAGTGAATGCAAATGTTCTTTCTTACTCAACGTGAACATTTGTTTACTGAAGTTTAAATGTTGTTAACCTTTAAAGTTTTTTCTGCATGCCTATTTACAAGCCCCTTTAAATGCTTACCCTCCATTGACGAATCTATTACAATACGACCCCCTATATGCTGCCCTATAATATAAGCCTTGCTTACTTCCCCCCGTTTTCCTCTTCCACGAACATTGTTAGCACCGTAACTTGGGGTTATTTGGACCGAATAGGGAGGGGGTTACTAGACCCATCAACAAAAGGTTTTAAATTTCACTCAGGCATCTCATTATAAAAATGTAGACATAATTCACAATATCACAAAACATTTAGTATCAGAACCTCTTCTTTTTTCAGTTATGCTCCAAGTTACACCATACAATCCAAATATCCCAAGTTACGGTTCTTTTGACGTGTTGATTTTCCTCCATCTACTGAGTACAAATCTTATCGGTGATCAGAACCCTTTCAAAATTAAATACTACAGAATCTTATAGTCCGAGAGCCCATGCATAAAAACGTCATAAATTTTGCACAATTTTTCATCTATTTCAAACAATTGTGTCCTCGAAAAAGAAATAAAATCTAGACGTCTGCTCGCATGATTCCGTTGAAATACAAAATGATAGCCAGTCAAAAATGGAATTTTACGACTTATTTCAGTTATTGATTTATAACTTGAAAGCAGTGCTTTCCGTCGACAAATTTCATATTTTAAGCATTATAGAATATAAAGTTGTGCGTGGAATGTGTAACTAATATTATAAATTTCTTACGGAATATGTTCAAAATCAACGGTCGAAAACTGAATATTTTTAACACTTTGCCTGTTTCATCTCAACATCAAGCTGTTGCGCCGTTCTTCATTGAAAGTAAGAATAATTTAGGAGCCAGCTGCAATAACAATATTAACTCAAGACTGTTGAACTTGATCGGTAACTGGACTGGTGACCTGGTGACCAAGCACCCTCTCTTGATGGAGGGGGTTATCACCCTACAGGCCACTTAAGGATTCCTATGCCGATATATGCAATACTTAATTTCAAGCTAAAAATTTGACAACTTGAGTCAGTAGAGGAAGCTTAGGAAGTAATGAGAAAAAAACATTGCATAGTCGTAGAATTTTCTGGTTGTAGTCGCTCTTTTGTTACGGTGTGGAGTTGATATCTCTATTATTTGTTATTGCTTAATTATTTAGACCACACACAAAGAAATGTGGACTATGAAAAAAAAAATAGCTTTCTTTTTTGTGGAGGTTGGGGAGGGGGAGGGTTTCAACCCGAAAGTTACTCTCCTCCTAGATCCGCCAGTTGCTAAAATTTGAGAATTGAGGGAATTCGCAGTAAAGATTTATCTTTGTCGCAGTAGTGCCCCAATCGAACACCTAAGGCTCGACACTAAATATAATTTTCGTTAAAATAATTACCACAATTCTTGCGAGCTGCCTTGAAGCTTCCTTCCCCCTAGTCCGGAGCACCCTCGTTATAAATGACAGCCCCAATGAAGAAAGGGCTATTGTCGCAATCGCTGCATAATTCTCCAGAAAACAAAAACGTGATTCTAACATTTTCTTTGTTTCTGAGCGTGAGTTATTGTTTAGGCATCCTCAACTATCGCGCTGATAAAGGCAATTAACCAGATCTATTGTTCTTTGTCTTAAACGGAAGAAACGTGATCCACCCAAATTAAAGGGGGCATTATGGTCTTGTTTCGTCTCATAAATTTGTAATAACTATTTTTTTTTTTAATTTATGTTACATTTTTTATTTCAGATGTGATAATGCTGCTTTGTTTATTTGATATTTATGAGACTGATTCTTTGGTAACCCTAAATGAATTCATTGCTTATTGCTTTAATCTAAGACTTAATTCTATGATTTAATCCTATGGGCAACGTGCATCATTTTGTTCCACTGGTCTGATAAAAAAATAAGTACATACCCGAGCAAAACGTATTTTAAATATTATTTTAAAATACCTGGATCTGGGTGGGATAACACTCGTGCTGGGCTACGTGGATGATTTGGTACTGTTATGCGAATACGTGGAAACTATTAAACTAAATACGACAACATTAATGAATGCCAGTAAAGAACTAGGGCTCGAAATAAACACACATAAGTCAAAATATATGGTTAGCTGCAAAAATGTTGATATTGCTGGTGATATCGATATAGATGGTAATATATTTGAACAGGTAGAGAAATTTAGGTACCTAGGTTCTACAATAACTAGAAAAAACGAAATTGAAGAGATTAAGGTTAGACTGAAGGCGGGAAATGCTTGTTATTTTTCTGTGACAAAACTACTTAGCTCGCGCCTCTTGTCCCGCAACTTGAAAATTAAAATCTATAAAACCATTGTCTTACCTACAATTCTTTATGGTTGCGAAACGTGGCCGCTTACATTAAGGGATGAGCAGCGTCTTAAGGTTTTTGAAAATAAAGTATTGCGTAGAATATTCGGACCGAAGAAGGATGAGTTAACCGGAGAGTTCAGACGGTTACACAACGCCGAACTGTGTGAACTATATCCGGCTAATATAATTGAGGTCATTTCATCCCGTCGTATCAAATGGGCCTGTAAAATTGTTGGGCTTAGTAACGAGAGAATTCATAAAAGGTTAATATTTTCTGTACCGAATGGTAAACGTCGGAGGGGTAAACCGAAGCGAAGGTGGGAAGATTGCGTTAACGCGATCTGAAGGGACTAGGTTTGGACGGCGAACGATGGAGGGAGGTATGTATGTAATGAGCGATTGGTGGTGTCGGCATCGAACCTTCGGGTTCCCTGAGCCTTTTATTATTATTATTTTATTTTAAAATACCAAATATTTTGCTTGTTTTAATATGCAATGTATTTTAATTGAAAACATTTAAATTGTGGTCAGAAAAAATTAATTACGTTTTATACAAATATTTTTATACATCAAATATAAGCTATACTAATTGTACAAAGCAAAATATTCATCAAAGTATTAAGTGGTTTAATTATTTGAAATGATACTCGATTTTTATGCAATAAATCGATCATGTGTTTAGCTATATAGTACTGCATTATTATACTGTCAAGGTAAGGTGGCTGTGGCCAATGCACTCTAAATAAGTTGCGTGCTGTGCTAATACACTATGCTCTAACTAAGGCTGTTCCCCAGAAGGCGGGAGGGCTGCTAGGACCCCAGGCAGGACCCAGCCGATCAGGGAGCCCCTCCTCGGCCGCCCCCAGGCAGGAGGACCTGGTGGACCTCAACGGGGGCACCTCGCCTCCACAGCTCCTTTCGCTCCGCAGCGCTTCGTCCTCTTCGGTGAGTAGCCTCTTATAGAGTAGAAGGATAGAAGGATAGAAGGATCAACTTTAGTCTGGGACTAAGTCCCTTGAGAATAGCAATATTATAAATAAAAATTAACATAACATCTGGCCAAAAAGCATATTACAATAAAAAATAAGTAATAACAGAAGGATTTACATAACTGTACCGATATATTAAAGACATAATATGAGCAATAAGGTCCTAATACTGCAAAATAGTTGCTAAAAACAGTAAACTATGGAATTTTAAGTGAAATTTAAAATGAACGACAAATTACTTTTGTTGTCATACCATTGCATTAATGAAAAACAATAATAATAAAAGAGTGAATAAATATTTACTTTAAATGATTTACATGTGTACCTTAATGTGTTCAAAGAATAGAATAATAGTATTGTAAACATTATACAAGTCCTATATAATCTAAATCCTAAGATGTAGATTGATCGGTGAAAATAAAATAAAATATGGACGAGATTATATACATATATAATATGGCTATAGGTAAATGCCTACCCAGCGTCTGATTGAATTGTAAGTTGGAATTGGAATAAGAGAGTTTTAAATATAGATAAGAATTTTCAGTGGGATGGAATTCCAAAAGGTGGTGGAGCGAGAGTGTTGAAATGAGCCCGATTAGTGGAAAGGGGTATAAAGGTCAGAAGGACGAGATCTTGTAGAGAGAGGGAGTGGATAGATGACTTGAATTGAAGGAGATTGAATGCGTAGGACGGACGATGATTAAAGATTATTTGGTAAAGGAATGTACCTTGGAAATATTGTCTTCTGAAGGAGGGAAAGAGCCACCCTAACTCGGCCTAGTAGTGGGAAACGCGAGAACGTCTCGAATATATTGAATTTGGATTGGCCTGCTTTCAGGCATAACAACCATCTACGCTATCTATGTACTGGTAATGGTACTGTTGGGAGAACCAGTCCAATAGTGGTCCTTTTTGCCAACTCCTGACGACTACCTTGAAGTTGCCGCCGGACCCACGCCCCTACGTGCTCGCCCATCTCATCCTATATACGTAACAAGATACAAACATTTAAGGGGCGATAACAGTTCAGAGCTACAAAATATGTTCATTTAAACAATGGTCGATTTTTTATATATATTTTTTTTTTTTGCAGAAAACTAGAAAATTTTAGTTATGTGCTTCTGTCAATAAGTCACGTTTTGTGTTGAATGGAGGCGATAAAAAAAATAAATATTTAAGTAACCCTAGTAAAACTATAACAATCTTTATGTTTCCGATTTCGTCTAATCCAGATACCTATGCTTCCAAAATAAACTCCAGAACCATCCGAACCCTCTCTAATCTTCTAACCTTGCTTCCTCTTCGATTCCTGATAACTCTCCGAGGCGTCTGTAAAGAAGATCGCTCCGTGATCTAATATAAATATTATCAGATTGGTACTAGTGGGTAGTTTCTTAACAAGTCATTTCATGTTCATTTCTAAACATTTACTAGATATATTTTTATATTAATACAATTGTAAATCCTGTAATTTATTCTGAATAAAATTTTAAAAAAGTAATCTATAGTTGCTTCACAGCTAACCAGAAAAAATTTACTAAAGCACAGTTGTCATTGTTAAAATCGTTTAAAGAGGATTTTGGCTGATAAACTAAGCCAAGTCCTCTATTTAAAACAATCATGCATTAATTGCAACACCCTCCAACCAATGGCAATGAATGCATATAAAACAAACCCTTTTATGTGTCAAATATAGTTACAACAAGCCCACAATTTGTTGATGTCATGAAGGGAAAATTCTTCAAAGTTCTTAATTAGTTAAGGTTATGAAATGTCACTTAATGACTTTTTGAAACAAACCAACGATGTTGTAAATTTTATTACTGTGCGAATATAGAATAAACCAAAAAATATATTTCATATCACTAATCCAGCCTTGTTGGTGTTTTCACTTCTATCGTGTGGTCTCAAGCGCATACCTTACTTTTTAAAAATAATTTTCCGAGACTTCAATTAGGTATATTTATGACAGCTCTACACGCAACATATATATATCTATATATTGGAATATATAAATATATTTATATAATTAGACCTGTTTATGTTTTCCACTACAATTTTTATCTACATATATATTTGTAAGCTGGGATTAATTTGTTGGCTCCATTAATATCTCATCCTGTCTGCTCCAATTAACTATTGACTTCTGTTACCTTATTTTTCCGAACCGAAAGAGCAACTTAAAAACCGGTTCTGCTGAGCAATTATAAGACTACGCGACTTCCTACCTCCTGCCCTGTGCTATTTATTTTTATTTCTATTTAAAAGGCATTGCCTATCACCGAATATAAAATGTTCTTCATGTAAGGAAAGTTCGAAGGTTTCATTCAATTCAAAACGACGATATATAATCAAATATACTCTTGGTCTATTGGTGTATATTATGTTTTTGAGAGTAGCTATTGTAAGGAACCCCTAGTGGTTGGTCTTCTTCTTATGCTGAACGAACTCTGATTAAATCCTGGCTTGAAACATTAAATTTCCTCTGAGTAGAAAATAAGTGGGCTGAAACCATGATTTAAATACGTTTTCTGGATCCCCAAGACACTGAAACTATACAACTGAATACAATTAATGTTGATCAAAGCTATAAAGAACTGGAGACTCCGGTATTGTCGAAATAAATATGGATAAGACAAAATATACGATTACCTTCACAAATGACGACAATGTCAATCGTGTAGATATGGAAGATAATGTGTCTAATAACGTAGAGAAATTCCAAGTCTAAGTAATTAAAAAAAAAAATAATTGAAGAGGAAATTAAGGTTAGAAATGTTTTGAAAATGAAATAATGGATGGTTGACTACAAAGAATAATTGAAGAGAAGATTGGTCGGAATGTTCAGTAAAAAAAATAAATAAATAAGTATATTTATTTTTATTTTTACCGACGTTTTGTCCCAAAGTTTCAGGCCTTCATCAGGGCTAAGAAAAACCAGATAACAATTGATATGAGACACTATTAACATTAAAAAAACAAATAATATGTAGATGAAAGGTATAGTCTAATGAATGGAGATAGAATAAATTTAAAGTAAAATAAAGTAGGTAGGATAAACTTAACGTAAAATAAAGTAGGTAGAATAAGCTTAAAGTAAAATAAAATAGGTAGAATAAACTTAAAATAAAATGAAGTAGGTAGAATAAACTTAGAGGAAACTTTCTATCCCTCACTTTGTTATCGTTATTTTCTATTTCCTTTAAGTTTATTCTACCTACTTTATTTTACTTGAAGTTTGTTCTACCAGCATTTTGCTTCCTCACTACCGAAGGTAGGGAAGCATTGTGTTCATGCGAGAGGTTAAAAAAAATTTTGTGCTCAGAATCGAAAATTTCCACTTGCATTTTACGTTTCAGACATCAAGGATCAAATTTGGCGCCTAAACAAATGTACCGATTTCAATGAAACTTCGCCAAAGTCATTTTCTCGACGCCCTTTAAATTTATCTATATAACATACTTCAACGAAAAGAAGCTCGTAAAAAAGTTACGAGGGATGCTAAAAATAAATTCTGAATAACTCAAAAAGTATACTTTTTGTCGATATTGTGATAAGATGTTTCAAAGGTATTTAAATTTCCTAAAAAAATGAAGGAAGTTTCATCGAAATCAAAGCACTATTTTAGACTATACCTTTCATCTGCATATTATTTTTTCATTTTAATGTTAACAGTTTCTCATACCCATTGTTTTCTGGGCTTTCTTATTCCTGATGGAAGGCCTGAACTTTAGGCCGAAAAATCGGCAAAAATAAAAATAAATATACTTTTTATTTTTACATTTTTTTGACTGATCTCCCCAACCAATCTTTTCTTCAATCTTTGAATTTGAAATCCATTTATTTCGGCATTACATAAATCTGATGTAGATCTAATTATGGTAATACATAAATAAATACTACTTTATCTGTTCAAATCTGTTTTTAAAAGCGCAATCTGAGAATAATTTAGTCGGCCAATCAGATGGTCTTTCCGTGCCGGTTTGGTGGCATGCCACCCATTCTCTGCTTAGGTCATTACTGTTACAAGTCGTCAAAAGCTATTCCCTGGATTTTTCCTTAATGGGATGTTTTAAATTCTGCATCGTAACATTGCTTTCTATGAAATGGGAAACTTCCAATGAGTGAAAGCAGTTAAAGGTGCATACGATTTTATATCGGGTCTATAATATATATAATAAGGGCCGGTATATAGGTAAAAATATACCCGTGAACGATCATTGATTGAAAATAGTTCCTCCCGATCGAGTACAAGAAAAGAAACTACAATCAATAAACAATGGAAACAGAAATGTTGGGTAACACCGCCATCCTCCAACAATGGAACCCATGATGTATAATTAACCTGTTTAAATACTAACCATCACCTGTCTTTTAATTACCTTTTGTCTCCTTTCTGAACGCTGTGTCGTCCAAAAGCTTGTCAGTGAAGCTAATAAATGAAAAATAAAATAAACGAATAGCTTGAAAATTTAATTAACTACTCAATACGCGACCTCCCTTAACTCGCAAGAGAAAGAACATGTTTCATATCGACACTGTTAGAAAATGGTTAACATAATGAAATAAGTATGGTAATTTAAGTTAATATTTTTTAAACTGTCCTTGAATAGGAAATTTGTTTTCCAAAAAATATTATCATCATATACCTAAAGTCGTAAAAACATTTATGAATATTCTTTACATATTAAAAAAAAAACTTAGCTCCTACTTGCTACAATTTTCGACTTATTTTACTTATTATCATTTAACTTTATTTATACGTTCACTTTTATTCTTACCAGTTTTCTAGTTAGATACTCACAAATAGTATTGTTTTGTTTTTTATAAAACTACATTCATAAAGATCTATCTTATTATTTGATGAAAATCGAAAGAATTTTTCATTATTCTTTAATTTTTTGAAGTTAAAACTTCTTTAGACGCGTTTTGAACTTTTTTATGGAGAATGAATTAGATCACGGGAGGGGCTTTCGGGCTGAAACCCCCCCAAAATGAAAAAATATAACCATGTTTTATGGGAAAAAAATTTAAATAATACCTCTTAAAGTATTATTGTTCGTGTAATTACATTTAAAAGTACTTAAGGAATAACTTAAACACCATTTCATATAGGTAGTTAGTTTCTTTATGTTTTTCCAAAGTAATTATCGTTATTTTTATGAAAAAAAAAGGTTTCGGGCTGAAGCCCCCCTCCAAAATTAAATCCTGGATCCGCTAGTGAATTAGATTGAACAGTCAGATTTCCGATGTGTAAAGCTCGAGTAAAGTTGGCTGGAGTCGACTTATTGAATTGTTTTTGCAATATTGTCATATTAAATATGACGAATCATATAATAATGAGAATATACGATCATCGCATATTTTAGTTATCATAAACATAATATTGTTTCATTTTTAGAGTATGATGCTGACTTAGCATGATCAGTCGGAGCAAAGTTTATTAGAGTAATTTAAACACAATTATAATTGTATGTATTTAAATCTTATTACTTTTTGAATATAGAACAAAAAAAATATTTCTATTTCATATTATTAAGTCTGCTTTGTTTATATTCTCACTTCTGTTGTGTGGTCCTAAGCACACACCGTTGTTTTATTTTATTTTTTATTCTTTTCTTTTAGTTTAGCCAAATATCGTTTTCCAATATTTGAGTAATACACGGCTGATTACGTAATTGAAAGCAAGTTGCATTATTTGTCGAGGACATCCTTTAGAATTATAAGTTACACAATCGGGTATGACTCAGTCAGGTATTGGTGATTGACAGAATGGTTCGGCTAACTTCGGCTTTGTTCGGATCAGCTGACCCCTCGCCGGCCTAGTAACAGCTGTCTTAGTCGACTTCGGGACGTTGGGTTGGTGGTGTTTCAGTTTTTTTTGTCCAAGTTTTTTTTTTAATAATTAAATATGAATTTTATATCAAGATAAATACTAATAAGCTGGATTAGATTTACACTTGCAAAGACAATCAGTAAGTCGTTATTTTATTTTTTTAATAGTAATAATAAGAAACCATTGATTTTCGCGTCTATAAATGTATCACTAATTATTAAAATTATTGCTACTACTAATTATTATTTATTTTTTTTTATTATTTATAAATATAAATAATTAAGATTTTCTCTATGTTATAGTATAACTACCTCGAAAAAATATATCCAATTCAAACTTTAGATAGAAACCATCCGCGACTCATTCATTACAAAAAAAAAAGAAGTGAAAATAATAATTAGTTTTGTTAAAATATTTAAAAAATTAATTTTTTCTATTTTTTTTTAATATTTTTAAAAATAATTTTCAATCAGTATTTAAAAAACCAATCAGTTATTTGGTTTATTGATAAGCGTTCTTGAAAAATAAATAAATGGTATAACAATTTTATTTTTAAAAAAACAATATTAATTTAACTTCAATCTTATGGTTCATTTCACCTAAATGTATTTCTTCAATAATAGCTTAAATTCAAAAGATGTAATATAATTATTGAAAAGAATTTGTAAATCTTCTTTAATACATTTTTTATTCCAGTCAAATGGTTATAATTTTCATCTATTTTATTTACGTTGATTAATGTCGATTTCAAATTATAAAACAATAATTAATAAACTTAAATTATTATAATAATTGCTCCTGGGAGTTCCCATTTTCTTTGATTGTTTTGAAGTTACCTTTAGAATTAATCAGATATTTATTGATATGTACTTACATTATCTTTATTAGATTTAAATTATATCATACTGAAACAAGAATAATTTGATGCTTTTTAAAGATGTATTCAATTTTTAAAACCCTTGTTATATTTTAAATACTTTGATCAAAAATATTATTATTTTTATAATTTTTATATTATTAATTTTTTATATTAAATAATCACACATATTATTATTGAAATTTAATAAAATAGATAGTATATTAGCTAACTATGGAATATAATGCTCATATTTTAAATTAATGTTTGCTTTGATTTTTAATTCTTATATTCTGACTTTATTTTATAAGTGTTCTCTAGTTTTCTTATTTTTACCAACAAAAAAAATTGGTCTAAATGTTGTAAATTAAAGTTGGATTACTGCCCTAAGAAAACCAGCTCATGATTAGAAGATTATTTCTTCTTTTTATTTTAAAGTGTAAAGTACTTATTTATTTGTTTGTAAAATGTTCATATATTAATTTCTTTTGAAAATTATAATACTTTAAAATATTTAAATGAAATTCAGCAAATTATTTTATTCCTTTTATAATTCCTCGATGGGTGCTTTACAGCCAAGTAAGATCAAATAATCAATGTACATTTTTATTACAGTATTTTTATCACATTACATAGGTTTTAATATAACTGCTGTCTCTTTATCTGAATTATTATTTATTTTATTGATTTATACTTTTTTTCTATTCTTCTTAACTTATTGAATTTTCAAGCCAATTCATACCCCTATAACCATCTTAATTTATTTTTATAGCAACAATATTTTATTTGTTATATAAATTAGGGCATTATTCACCAACATTTTATTTATTAGCTATTTTATTACGACATTTCAACCATGATTAGGACCATTTTCAAATGTTATGGGTCCTCCATAAGATATTAATTATTAATGAATATCTAATGAAGGACCTAATAAGATTTGAAAATGGCCCTAGTGATGGTCGAAACATCTTAATAAAATAGCTAATAAATAAAATTATGGTGAATAATGCCCTAATTTATGTAACAAATAAAACCTCAAGACACCAATTCTAGGAATAATGAACAGAAGAAACAATATTTTAATTAATTAAATGATTTTTGTTTAACATGTCTAAACTTTTTAAATTAACTACTTTTTTTTACTCTACAATTATTTTTTTCAAATCTACAACATATTAAAAAGTAGGAGAAACATTGATGTAATAGAGTTTAGCTCTCCAAAAAAACTTGAAAATTTGATTAAAACAGTTAAATTTCTAGATTCATTTGTTATTATGAAGGAAAGACTTCTTATAGATTTCGATATTAGCTCATTTAAAAAATATTTGCTATTCTCAAAAATTTCTCACTCATAATTCCGTAATACATCCTATGTATTAGAAGGAATCAGATCTTCCATCTCCCTATATTAACCCTATAGTCCATGGGACTAGGAAAAATATTCTCTATCAAATTAAATAGTTCTGGCATTTTAGTGGGATAAATAGTACAACTTTATGTATTTAGACTCAGTATTTTGAACATATTTTTCTGTTTCTTTTTGTCTCGTAGGGCAAATGGCTACTAGAATAAAGAGTGTCCCTCCTTTTTAATAGTTTTATCACTTGTCCCATTTTGTTTGAAAAAAAAACTTCATTCATTATATAGCTCCAAACTCATTAGCTATTAGTGATATTTGTATTTTAATGATTATATCCTATTCAGAAAAAAATTAATGTGAAATTTGTAGTGGGTAACATTTTTATGTATTTGATTTAATTTTTTACTATAAATTACATGGCCAATCCACAAAATATTCAAAAATGAATTGGAGGTGGTTTTTAATGTAGTTAGTGTCTACTAATTCAACAGAAAATAAACATAGTTTTGATCAATCAGTTGATATAATAGCAAAATATTTTAAAGGGATAAAATGTAAAATAAAATTAGCTTTTCACAAGAGAAGAAATATCCTTATTAGAAAGCTTCCTAAATTAAGTTTACTTATAGCATGTGAAATTTGGATCAGTTCCTTTCTTTTAAATGTTGTATAAATCTGCATTAGTATAGTTTAAATTTATTAATAAAAATATCAAATGATTCTTTCAAAACTTAAATTCTAACATTAGTATATTTATGAGATAACATGGTATTTATCTTCATCAATATATTTTTTTGTTTCAGCAATTGAAAAATGACCAGGAAGAAGAGAGACCAGGAGAAAAGACAGACGGGACAGAAGGTCTGGAGTTGTTCGCAGACCTAAAGGACTTTGAAATATATTCCTGCGTTAACCCACAGAAAGAACTTGGTGCTCCTGCTGCCCTGTGTCTTCGCAGAACTGCAGAACAAGACTTTTCCAATTGCCTTTACTTTGCACCTGACAGCTTGCAAGACCAAACTTGTTGGCTGACGGCCATGAGGCTAGCCAAAGTACGTATAAATTTTCAATGAAAGCATATTACATATAATTTCTGAATATTAATAATAATTTTTTGATTCCCACATTTCCTTTTTGTTCATTTATATCATGAAAGTTACTGTTAATAAAATCCCAATACACATTCAAATTAAAAAATTTTTAAAAAAATATGTTTTTATACTGATTATAGGCAAACAAAAATCAAAAGAAACAATACTCTATTTTCAAATGAAAATTTTCTTCATGTATCATTTTAGGATGTTAAAAAACGTGAAAGTACTTAAAATAATAAATTTAATTATATCTTTCAATCTTGATCACATTTATTTCGTATATCTGAGAGTTGTTTTTACTCTTATACTACATTATGATTTATTTAATATTGAAATATAATGAGAATTTATTCTTCTTTTGGACCATTCCACTACTTATAGTTCGACTGTTGGCTTGAATCCTGTTCCTAATAAAATTGCTATTTCTGTGATCTTCAAATTCTAATTTACTGTGTTGTAAATTTCTGATAAATTTCAGATTATTTATTTAATTTTTTTTTTTTTTTTGTAGATGTGGGAAATAATTATCTCTTATTAAATAATTAATTTTGGAAAATAATAGTTAATCAAGTATAAGTTAGATTTGATTGGTCTATAGTAAACCTTTTAGGATTAAAATATTACATATTAACATTCAATATAATAAAATCAGATGATTCTCTTCAAATATAATTCAATATTGCTAAGTATTACTACAAACAGAGGATAGGAACTATATTGTTTTCAAGACTGGAAATAGACATTAATTGTGTTAATAAGTTCTAATGTACAATTGGTATATGTTTGATGCATTCTCTGTTTCGCACGTGATGTAATTTTGCTTTTAAAAAATAATTAATTTAACTTAATTCAGTTCAATTTGACCAATAAATTGTTAACAAAAACAAACTGTTTATTCAGGTCTCCTAGGCTAGACCAAAATCCATAATTTTTAGTGTAATTTTTTCACAGCTTGTTCTTCCTCAAAGCAATTGTAAATAATTTATTTAATTTTTTTCATGTAGTATGGAAAGCAGTTAAGGGAAAATTATAAGTCATTTAAAGGCAAGCAAGAAGCTGTTTCTGCTCCTAAAGAGATCCACACAGTAAGTATTTTTGATTATTTTTATCACTTACGAAACTAAACTTCTGTGGCATATTTTATATAATTTTATGAAATTGTTAACTCTGGCTCAATACCCATTATTTTTGGAATGGATTTGTATTTTATTTCAAATCCTCATTGAAAAGATATTCCATCTGCCTTATGTTATACTTCTAGAAGTTCATTCATGCAATTTATCTAAATAATTATATTATACTTCAGGACAATATGAGGTCACGAGTAGCAATGGATTTTACTGGAAGTGTTGGAAGGATTGTTGAAGATCCACAAGAAGCCAGAGAAATTGCCCAGTCTGAAGGTGCTTATTGGAAAAAGAAGTGGAAAGAAATGATGGCAAATCAGCCCAGGTAAAATTTGTTTTTGGTTTATTCAATTAAATGAAAATATTAAAAGATATATTTGAGAAACTGATTCATAACACTTTTCTTAACAGATCAAAACTATTCCATAAACATGTGTAAATTAACTTGCAAACCCTCTTCAATATTTCTTTGAAAGGCAAAACATTGTTAAATTTACTTTTTATGGGGTTATTTGTATAGATAGACAATTGAATTGAATTGATCATTCCATCATTGGCATGCAATGTAATTTTCTTGATTTTGAGAAAAACAAAAAATAGTTCCGAGATTGATTATTTTGCGTTTTTCCTATACGAGAGTAGCAAATATTAAAATAATTAATTTAAGAGCAATTATACTGCTGTTTATGTTATAAATTTATAATTAATTAAAATTTAGCTTTATCTATATTAATAAATTTTATTTTGTGTGAAGACGATACCCAACGCCCAAGGATGAACATGGAGCTCACCTCAACCAACCCTGGTACCATGAGAATATGTCGAGGGATCAGGCTGTGGCACTTCTCAACTCTCTTCCAGAGAAAGATGGGTATGTCATAGATATGGTGAGTCACAACCCAGGCTTACTGTACAATATTAATGTTATTTGTTCTATCTAATACTAAGTGATTTTGTTAACTGCTTCAAATTATCAACAAAATAATAACAAGTTATGATGTGGTCGGATCAATGTCTTGTCAATAGGCTGTAATTTTCTCTTTTTAAAAATTAACTCTCAGTTAGTCCTGTTATGGTACATTTCTTAGTTTCTTAGTCTCCACAAATTATCAGTCCATATGGACTCAATAACTTCCAAATTATTAATTACTAAAATATTAAATTTATTTAGAAATATTGAATTTTATGAAAATAATTACTCATAAAAACCAATTTTATTTTATTTAGATTATCAATAATAATATATTATTATTGGTGGTTGAACACAAATAGGAATAAGAAGTTTTTTAGTTTTCAATTTTTCAACTGTTTTAAGTAGATATACTAATTCTTTAGCGAAAATAATACACTTTACAATGAAATAGGTAGGTAGTCGAAATTGATTGTAGCCATTATGTAGATTAAAAGTTTAATATTCTGTCTTCTTTCGTTGATTTCTTCCAAAGCTATTAGAACAAAACATTTTTTTCTGTCATCAATTTAAAATTTTCAAATTCTTTCTTAAATTTTGGAAATGATGTTTACCAACTTTTTAATCAACATATATTGTATTTTCAATATTTGTTATATCTTCTTTTTATCTTTTAATTTTGTTTGTAATTATTTTAAGATAATTGTTAAAATATGTTGACAGTATATTCGTCGTGCGGGACAGCAAGAGCAAGCCAGGTTGTTTCGTCTTGACATCTAAACACAATGGGAAAATTCTTCATACAACTATTGAACCAGTAAGTAGCAATTAATCTTATCAAATCAAATTCAAGTTACGATTATTGGTAAAGAAATAAACTAATGGTTACTTCTACGTTAAAACATAATTATTACCATTTTTTTTTTTAATATCATGTGGTGGTGATTGTATAGTTCATTTATAAGTATAATATCAAAAGGATAGAAGTGGAGAAATGTTTGTAAGTTGAAAAAAAAAAAAAAAATTCAATTCGCTATTTTAAATTTTATAATATTATTTCAGACTTGAGGGCCTAAAAAATTCCTAAACATTTAATTTAAAGCAAATTAATTCACTGCAATTTTTGGTTATTTATATTTGTCTCCAAGCTCTTTAACATTGATAAAAACAAAATCAGCCTGCCTGGATGGCAATTGAAATAATCTAGCTATTTAGCTTTGTCTAAACCATCATTTGACAAATTTTCATCCCATACTAAACCTGTTTAATTTTTAATGAGATCAGATTTTTTTTTTTTAAATAGTATATTTTCTAGCTTTCATTTGTGATGTAAAACATATTTTTGGATTTAAGCCAATTTTGGACTGAGTTCAGATTTTATATACAATACCCTATAAATTTGCTAACTTTTCATCATTAAAAAGCTAAGTTTCTTTCATTGTACTTATATTTATCCATTTTCAATGTTATTTACAGTTACAAGATAAAGAATATGAAGGAATTTGTGAAGTAACCTACACAATAGATGGCGGAACGACCAAATTTATAGACTTGTACCAGCTTGTTTGGTTTCATATCCTCAATACCACTGCACTTCCTTCTAAATTAATTCATTGGTCTAAGCATTAAGCTATCAGTGATATTAAAATAAGTAGCCTTGGTCAGTCTGTATTTGTTTTTAATATACCCCTAATCTAATAATGGATTCTCCATGTTAAAAGTGAAATATTTTTATAATTACTGTCGAATATATTTTTGTGAAACAAGATTGTCAATATTTTTATGAAAAATATTCATTAATTTAAAGATTGCTATAAAATTTTGATTTTCAAGATTACAATTTTGAACCACTGTAGTTTCATATTATGATGGCTTCTTTGAAAAACTTAATAACATTGTTCTTATAATGCACTAATATTGTTCACATTGTTGTTTTTTAATATTAATTCTATTCATAATATAATAGTTATGATTTTTAGCTACCTGGACAAAGGTGATTTAAAAATTTTGAATGTAATTATAATTACATTAACGTTTTGAGGTTGTTAATGGAATATAGGATTGAGACAGATTTACCAAGGCTAATAATTGTGCTATTAAAACAATCATCTTATTTATTTGTTTTTCTTATAGCATTTCATTTCTCCGGACATTAATTTCTAAAATGTAGATGGTAATATTATTATGCACTCTTTTCATGTTCCTTTTTAGTTGTTTTGATATAACGATATTGTCGTTTCATACAATCACTCGGTTTAGCTCTCGTAGCCAGTCTCTTTCGTTATATCTGTACTTTCATTAACAGAATATTTATAATAAAATAATTAGCAGTTAATGATACATTTTAATCTATGTAGCGAGTGATATTTATATTAGTTTAATTTTAGCAACAAATTCCTTTTAGTAGTTTAATGTAGTTATTTATTTATATGAAACATGGGTTTTATTATATGCATAGTATTAAACAATGCTTATAAAACTTATTGACTTGCACAAAAAAAAAGTTCTAATGATTAAGATTTATTAGGACTCCCATTATGTGATTTATGTCGTCTATGATAGTATTATTAAAGCCAATGAAATTAATTGTAAAGGCTGATAGCAAATTATTTATAAGCTATTTATTGACCGAATTACCGAGGTAGCTCCTTGTTATGTATACTGCTAGAATTTATTTTGTAAAATATAAAAATAAATAATTATGATTAACATATATTTTTTTTAGTTGTAATAAAATATAATTTTTTCACTTTTTTTTAATAAAAAACTATTTATTTCATAATAGTTGTGTTGTAGCTATAAATTATTGTTATGTTATGAAGGTAATTGAGACTGAACTCAATGATGTGTTATAATAGCTTTTGTACTTTTCTTAAATTCAAAGATGAAGTGGATAAAGTATAAAACTTCTTCAGAACTGCCTTTATCTTGTTAGTTGGATCATTTATGTCAGAACAAAATATCATTCGTGTTTTATTCTTTTCAATTTTCACATCAAGCAATTATTTATTTTAACAAAGAAATGGTGCACTAAAGATTATAGTTAAAGTTAGCTTAACGTGTTTATTGTCTAGAATAATTTAGTAATCTGAAAAAGAGAAAAAAAATCAAAATTTTGTATCACATTTATTCACCAGATCCTTCAGTTATGGTAAATAGTTATTATTGTTGACTGAAGCATTGGAAACATACTGTTAATTTTTACTTTTGGTTTTAATATTTAATTTATGTGAATTGATTAATTATTTTAACAAAGTTGAAGTTGACATCTTGTATTATTGCACAAAGGTGGCGGCTAGCTTCTCTAAGATTCACCAAGTTAGTCATAGTGAAAATTGTACCTGTTCAATAAAATAATGACGACTAGAACTAGAAATTTGTAATTAGTGAAGTCTTAAGTTTTGCTATTTAGTCGTCATTAAAGAGACAAATTATTGATTTATTAATTTATTTGTTAAAAATTCTTTCTTTGTGCAATGAAAGATGCTTTTAGAAGAGGACGAAAGTATACTTTAAAGTTAGTGTGAATCGTATTTATTATTATGTGAATCAAATTGAATTATTAAAAGACATTTAAATTAATTATAACTACTAACAAACTTATAGTTTAATTGTAAATAAAGATATTATTAAGTTCGTTTTGGGTAAATATTTTTTATATGGTTGTATGAAACGACATTTATATTGAGGTCACTAACTAATTAGTTTTTTTAATGTTTTATGTTTTAAAATTAAATATTATTTAACTTAAGCCTAGAATGGTTTGAATATTATAATGAAAAATCTATTGAAATTTAAAAGCAATACGTTCTTGGCATTCTAAGAAAATAAGAAACATTTTATAGTACAATCCTTAAACCATTGTCTTTGTTTGTAACACAGAACTTAGTGACTATTTTTATACTTCTCAAGTATCCATTTATACAGTATTCGTTTGTTATTCATTAATATTTAGAAACTAATTGAATCTCTTGTAATTTTTTTAATAAATTGGTTTTGTAGGTATATAGTGTTAATTTTTATAATAAAATATCTTCAAAATAAACATGAAGTTTTGAAGTTGTCCACTTTCTTTAATTTAAGTCAAATTCACTATCATTTTGAACAGCAAGTAATCACTAAAATGTCTCAATACTCTTGAATGTTTTTGAGAGCCTGAATCAGCTACTCAGTGAGATGGTTGAGCATGTTAGAGAAGGGTCTCCAGGGGTTCGATTCCTACCCGGATCTAATTCTTATATGTATGGTGTTACATACCACGTGGAGACAAAGCCTCTTGCTCCTTTAACCCTCATTCATCCCTATCTGGACCAGTTAACATTAATGTTGTTGATGCACCATGAAATTGAATCTTAAAACTCTACATGTGGTTAGTAATGGGCACAATCTTGAGACAGCTGTCAGGGATTTGCAAAAACTAAATTATAGTTTGCCAGCAGTTAATTATAGCAAAAAAGATGTTCTATGACAGTTGTAAAAAATATGAACGTCTTATCAGCTTGTTTTACAAATTTTAATTACAGTTGACAAAATTATTAAAAGATAATTTAAAAACAAAAAAACTTGTGTTGGAATTATTTTATTTTTTTTAGCAGCATGTTATAGAGATCGAGTGTGGTGAAAATGATCTTTGATTATTTTGTGAGAAATTATGTTAATTATTTTTGGTTAAAGTTATTCCTATTGTAAATAAATTTACTTATTATGGATCTGTTACCAATTATTTAACATCACCTTCATAGAAGAAAGTCTGTAAGGAAGGACTCACTTCCCCTCAACTGGGTAAGCTCTTATTAATTATAATTTTATCATTCCGTTAATGTTTAAAGAAACGTTACAATTATTGTTAAGTTTTAATAGTAATTATTTCTCATGCCTGAAATGCCATAACCAAATTTATCAACACATTTGCTGATTGTCGTTCACATCTATGACAGTTACAATATAGATATAAAGAAGAAAAAATTCTTTTCAAAACAATATAGTAATAATATATGATTTTATCAACTAATAATGTATTGGACATTAGATAGTTCACAGATTTTAATAAAGGATGAATTGTTAGGGTTTCCAGAATGAAATACACCATTATTCTGATTTTTTTATAAATAGGTCTTTCAACACAGCTTATAACGTAAGATTCTTATTTGCCTTGATAACGATCAACAATCTGGGTAAAAAAGACAAATAAAAGAAAGAAAGTAAATTTTATTCGGGGAAATTTAGTCTCCTCAGAATAACTATAATGAACAACGAAATGACAGTTATTTGTTGTTAGCAATTATGAATAATTAAATGACAATTAAAAATAAATTAATTTACAAAGTTTTCTAACCTTAATATTAAAATAAAGAAAAGACTCTGCAGTAAATATATGATCTTGAAGTTAACATATGAATTTAAAGATAAATACATGCAAGTGAGTTCACGTATTTGTAAAAATAAGCAATATGGCACATACATATATATCTGCAAGATATCAGTATAATATAGCTGACATCTCTAAAGTAAAAGACAACTTTATTTTCACATATATTCGGAAGATTGATAACTGAGGAGATGAAAAAATAAATTATGTTTAAATGAGGTCAAGGATGAGGATTTCCATAAAGAGGTTGGTAGGGAATTCCAAAACGAGGTAGCACGTATGACGAAGGATTTTTTAAAGGAAACAGTTCTATGAGAAGAAATAAACAAATTTGAGGATTGGGATCTCGTGTTGAATGAATGAACAGAGGAACAAGGAGTAAAGAAATCAAGAAGGTAAGGTTTTTGGTTGTAAAGGTTCGGAAAAGAAATACACTTAGGAAATATTGTCATCAGAAAACTGAATAGAGCCACTTTAACTCGGCATAGCAACTGGAGATCTGGGGATTCTAAGGATATCTCTAATGAAACAATTCATTAGTCTCTTTAATTTGATCTCAAGCCCACCAGACAGTCCACCCCATACAAGGCAGCCATAATCGAAGTGAGGGAAAATGAGAGGAAACTAGGAGCTGACGGATTTTAAGGGGCATAGAGTCACCGAATCTCAGAAACTGTTGGAGAGTAGCAATGGATTTTCGGATAATTTGGGAAATGTGATTATTCCAGGACAGATGTTGATCGAACATTACCCCAAGGTTTCTTACAGAAGTATGGAAACGTATGCGTATCCCATTGAGGTAGAGTAGAGGATAATAAGGAAGGAGGTTAATCAGATGTTTGGATCCAATGATAATGGCTTTGTCTTCTCAAAATTCAATTTCAAATCAGTGCTCGCTGCCCCGGTATTAATACTGTTGATATCTTCTTGTAGCCTTCAGATCGCCTCAAGCATCTCTGTAGGATGGAAGGAAAGGTAGATTTGGAGATCGTCAGCATATAAATAGTATTGCGAATTATGGATGGAATCAGGAAGGTCATTAATGTAGAGAGAGAAAAGAGTTGGAGAGCGATGATCCCTGAGGAACACCACGAGTTAGTAAGAAGGGGAAGGAAGGAGTTTTATTGGGAATGATTACTGTTTGGGATCTTTGATACAATAAAGAATGGAAACACTTTAGAGCACTATTTGATATGGAAAACTCTTGAAAAATCAAAGAAGACTAGGATAGAGATTTTCTGTTTATCTATAGAAAAATTTTCCAAGTCAAATTCAACCTTTTCCATTTCAAATTCAACTTTCGAATTTTTGTCAATTTTCGAAATGAAGGCCACTTACTATACTATCGAAGGCATAGCTTTTGAAAATTACAAAAAAAAAATTGATAACGCGGTTGCATATCCATTTATTTTAACATTTTAGATTTTTTCAGTGTAATATTTCTATGTCATATTCAATTATTTCCAAGTCAAATTCAACCTTTTCCAGATCAAATTAAACTTTTTCCAAGTCAAATTCAACCATTTCCATTTCAAATTAAACCTTTTTCATTTCAAATTCAACCTTTTTTTATTTATTTAAGCATTTTTAATTTTTCGATGTGTAGGTCTGTTATCGTATGAGTAGTTTTTGAAAATAACCTCCATTTTAAAATTACGTGACTGCGTTTCGAATTATTTAAGTTTTTCTTATTTTTTCGATATAAGGGTGTATTTTTATGTTTCCCGATCCGTAAATTTTGAAAATGACCTCCATTTTATGTTTACGCTGTGTTTTGACTTATTTAAGTTTTTAGAATTTATCCAATATAAAGGTCTACTTTTATGTTTTCGGAGCCGTAGATTTTGAAAACGCCCTCCATTTTAAGATTAGGCCACCGCGTTTCGATTTCATAAAGTGTTATCAACTTTTTTCATAAAAGGTAGTATTCTTATGTTTCCGGAGTCGCAGATTTTGAAAATGGCCTTCATTTTAAGATTGCGCCAAAGCGTTTCGACTTATTTAAGTTTTTTTGGATTTTTTTCATATAAAGATGTATTCTTATGTTTCCAGAGCCGTAGGATATTGAAAACGACCTCCATTTTAAGATTAGGCCACCGCGTTTCGATTTCTTTGAGTGTTTCGAATTTTTTTTATAAAAGGGTGCATTCTTATGTTACTGGAGCCGTAGATTTTGAAAAAGACCTCCATTAGGCAATTAGGCAACCGCGTTTCGATTTCTGTAAGTGTTTCGAATTTTTATCATACAAGAGTGTATTTTTATGTTTCCGGAGTCGTAGATTTTGAAAATGACCTCCATTTTGAGATTACGCCACTGCATTTCGACTTATTCAAGTTTTCTGAATTTATCCAATTTAAAGATCTACTTTTATGATGCTGGAGCCTTAGTTTTTAAAACGACTTACATTTTAAGATTAGGCCACTGTGTTTCGGTTTTTTTAAGTGTTTTTGATTTTTCCTTCGAATAAAAAACAAAATACGAAGAATTAATTTATTTTTCAATAAATAGATAAAAATATCTAATCAAAATAAATAAAATATCTATTGTCTCATTTTTAATTTAATTTTAGTTATCTTTTTTAATGTTGTGGTCTCCTGTAACAAAATTATAAGATTTCGAATAATTAGCTGAAAAATCTGAATACGGTAGGTTAAATTTATTACCAGTTGCTTTTCGGCTTTTTCATTTGTATTCTGTGGTTAATTTAACTTTAGCTTCATAATATTTATTTATTTATTTATTCATACTCGAAAAAATATTGATGAAACTTTGTATTGAAAAAATGAAAAATGAAGCCTAATTAATCGAGCTGCAGCGGTTTAATCATAAAATGGAGATTAAATATTAGATAAATTTACATATTAAAGATTAGAAAAATTTCAATACATCTCCGATAACATATAAGTAGATCCTTATACCGAAAAAGTAAAAAAAAACTTTCATAATCCAAAACAAAGTGGCATAAACTTATAATGGGGTCATTTTAAAAATCTACTGCTCCAGAAACATAAAAGTAGACCTTTATATTTGATAAATACGAAAAACTTAAATAAGTCAAAATAAAATGGCTTAATCATGAAATGGAGGTAATTTTCAAAATCTACGGCGCTGGAAACATAAAAGTAGACCTTTAAATTGGATAAATTTGAAAAACTTAAATAAGTTAACACGCAGTGGCGGAATCTTAAAATGGAGGCAATTTTCAAAATCTACGGCTCCGGAAACATAAGAATACACCCTCATATGAAAAAAATCCGAAAAACTCAAATAAGTCAAAACGCGGTGGCCTAATCTTAATATGGAAAACATTTTCAAAATCTACGGCTCCGGAAACATAAAGATAGACCTTTATATTGGATAAATTCTAAAAACTTAAATAAGTCAAAACACAGCGTAAACATAAAATAGAGGTCATTTTCAAAATTTACGGATCGGAAAACAAAAATACACCCTTATATCAAAAAAATAAGAAAAACTTAAATAATTCGAAACGCAGTCATGTAATTTTAAAATGGAGGTTATTTTCAAAAACTACTCATACGATAACAGACCTACACATCGAAAAATTAAAAATAATTAAATAAATAGAAAAAGGTTGAATTTGAAATGGAAAAGGTTGAATTTGACTTGGAAAATGTTTAATTTGATTTGGAAAAGGTTGAAATTGACTTGGAAATACTATATATGCAGTAGGACAGGAAAGATAACTGGAAGACATAATTTGATTAACTTCACAGAAATTAGGGCCGGCCATAGTTTGTATTATTAATAGTAGTTTGTTCTGGATTTCAGGACAGAAGAAAGTAGATCTTCTGGTAAAATATTTGTAAAATAGAAATTTTCAGAGTCAAAGGAAGCTTTAGGAATACAATATAAAAAGTAAAGTGGTAATGAGTAAGGATCGGCGAAGTAGAAATTCATTTGATCTGAAGAAAAATTGTAGAAGGTGCAGGATTTTGATTTACCACGGATTGGTTTTTAAGGATTTTCCATCTACACTTAGGATCTGAGGCTTGTGATAAGGAAGTATGAAAGAATTGTGTCTTAGCACATCACAAGGAAGATTGAGTAAGGTTTCGAAGAGTCTTAAAAGAGAAGTAGTCATCTGGATTAGGTGTTCGTCTGAAACGCCTCCTTGTGGCATCTCTTCTCTTTATCAACTCTCTTATTTCTGGATTAATTCAGGGAGCAGCAGGGCGTCTGAAGGTCGAGGTCTATAAGGAGGTGTGCTTATTTAGGAATAGGAGAAGGTTTGAGGAAAGACACTCCACCATTTCATCAATGGAGGAATAGGAATAGATCGAATCTAAGGATCCAAGGGCTAGTGATTCAAGAAAAGGATTAGTTTTCCAGAGATCATTGAGCCAAGATCCCACCATGGAATTTGCCTGGGAGTCTGTTTAGTCAGAGTTAGAAGTCAGGACATTATAGTAAATCTTAATGAGATCATGATGTGAAAGGAAGGAAACAGAGTTCTGAGCAGAGGATAATAAGTTTTGAGGGGGAATCGATTAGAAAAAAGTCCAGCCATGTGCTCGAGAACTGGGTATGGTAAGTAGATTGAAAAGGAACGATAAATAGGTCTATAGAATGGATTAGATCTCTAAGGTATGATTTGTCAGAGGAGTCAGAGGATAAATTGGTATTAAAGTCGCCGGCTATTATTACATGGTTGTATAAAACACAAGAATGTCTTTCATACTTGAAATATCATTGACTATTACTATGGAAAGTATTGAGTATAAATTAACAAAAATATTATAAGTAAACTAAATATGATATAATACATTTTTATAGTAGTTATCAATTTTTTTCTTTAATGAACTTTTTCACGCTACCAACATACCTTAATATAATAGCCACATTAATGCGTAAATTTCCGTATAATTTTCAGTTATTTCAACTTTAGAGTTTGAAGATTTGCAACAGAAAATGACTGATCCTTGTTCAACCCCAATAATATAGAATTTATAAGGATAGGAATAAAATATTAAAAACATCCTAAAGTTGCTGACATTTTTTAAAATTTATTATCCATACAAAATTACATGTCATGTTCAATACATAAATGAAGCAAATATTCATCCATTTATTACAATTCATAGACTCATAAATATGATAAACAGAAACTTATTATCAACAAAAGATTTATGGTACTATCAGTATTGAAATTCAGTATATTCAATTTGGTTTTCTAAAACATTAGGTAGTTATTCACTAATTCCGATATTAAATAATTAGAGAATTTTGATAAGAGCAACTCTTGATTTCTTCAATAACAGATGATTCTTTGATAGCCTATAAAAATCCAAAATAAATTACTTAAAAAAAAGACAAATTTTAGAAATATTTAATAGAAGTTGGTAGGGGATTATAGTCAAAGATGAAATTACACACAAATAAGCCTTTTTTTATTGTATGTTGATGTTTAAAACAAAGTTTTAGGACCTTCATCAGGGCTAAGTAAAAACAAATTAACAATAATCAATGAGAAAGAAAAAGGAAAATAATATAAGAAAATAAAATAGTACAAAAATGATAATGATAACATTTGAAAATAATTTGTTTTTTTCTCTTCAGATAAATAAGACAGGACAATAAAAGTTCTATGCTTGAATGTTACATTGTAATTTTATGCTATTAATGAATTATTTTAACTGTTTCTTATATTTTTTGTATAGTAGGGTTTTGGGAAGAGGCCATATGTCCCCTTGTATAAAAGAGGATTTCAGAAAGTTGGCTCTTTTAAAATGTTAGTGAAAGTTGCGGACACAATGGCAAAAGTAGCTGCTTGTGATATTCAACAGCTCTATCAATACCTATTTAACCTCCTATACTTACGCTAAAGAAGATCGGGCCGGGATCACGCTCAACCACCAGGTTTTCCCCCTTAATTAATTATTTAATTAAGGGTACCCACTTTGTAAGGGCCCCAGGAGGTTCGCCCCACGGCCAATGAAACAGAATAATTAATTTTTCTGCCATGAGCCGGGGTTCGAACCTGGGATCTTCAGCATCGGAAGCTCAGTGCCCTACCACTGAGCCATCCCGCTCCCCTCCCATTTTGCATTGACACGGGCATTTAATCCCCGTGGCCAGTCATCTATAGCAGCACGCAGTACTTCTTGAGAAAAGTGCTCAACTGCTTTGACCAGAGATTGTTTGAGGCTTTCCAAGTTAGGGTGTGCTCTGTGGCATGGCATCCTCTCCAATTCGGCCAAAAGCTGATAACCTAGTGGATTGAGATCAGGGCTTCCTGAGGGCCAATCCAAGGGAAAGATGAACTCTGGAATGTTTTTTTACAGCCACTGCTGAGTTGACCTGGCCTTGTGAGCTGGAGCGGAATCCTGCAGGAAAACATATTATAAGTAAACAAAATATCGCCCTGATAGTTTTTAGCGGCTGTTTTAACTCCTCTTTTACAAAAATTGAGCTTTGTGGTGCCATCAAAACAAACTCACCACTAAACCATCACTGAGGAAGTGTGATGACTTCTTTCCACTCTTCCAATAACTTCCTGGGCTTCTTTAGAGCTGTGTGCGTACACACGATCATTTTAACAATTAAATTTTTCTTCAATTGTAAAAATTTTCTCATTGCTAACCAAAATCTTTCTGTGAAGAATATGGCTGTAGCGGCCAAGGAGCGCTTTGTGCATCTATCCATTCTAATTTTTTTTTAGAGAAGTGGTTAGCCTTTGTCCTGCCATTGATCGAAATGCACCCATCTTAAGATCACTTTTTATTATACGAGACAATGATTTGACAAAGATTCCCATTTCCAGAGGCATGATTTGTTGTTTTCGAAGGGGATTTCTTCTGATTCGAGCAGCCACTGCTCTCACTGCATTTACCGTTCTCACTGTTCACTCTGTCGAGGTCTGTCATATACAGACAGGGTATCATTATATCTATTTATAGGTCAGTACATGAACATACGGCTGATACCCAAATGTTTCAAAGTGTTGAAAATTTCTGACCTATATTTTCCAACTTTGTGTAAGGCGATCACAGCTATTCGGTTTTCTTTGTCACTCCACTCCATATTAACTGAGCAAAAGAGAAACACAAACTAATTGAGATTATCATCCTGAAATGTAAAGAAAATAACCTGATAGAGGTAAGGATTACCTAAACAATACCCAAGGATGTAAACAAAGTTCAACTTTTGTAACAGTATTTAAGGCAGAACTAGGTAAACTAATATAATTTCTTATATTCTGAATACGGCCCAACAAACCAATATCTAAACAGATTCCACTTAAAAACGACAGATGTATATGGTTGCGATGTACTAACTCGACAAACTCACACACACATCTTTATATATGTGGCAGTGTGGATACGAAGGACAAACTCCACACTTGATAAAAAAAAAATTTTTTGCTAAAAGGGTTCAATGGCATATGTATTACAAGCAAGTACAACTTCATTGTCGAGTTTGCCCTTCTTTCCCATGTAAAATGAGTGTTTAACGTTTAGAGACTAACTGAAATAAGCAATAGGATTACAGATACAAACTGTGAACTCAAAGTCTCATCTCCCTCCCCCACTCCGGACTTTGTGTGAAGTCCACCACTCTCTTACCGGCACGTGCCACATTATGGAAAGAGCGCCAGCAGGATATTCTGAGAAACGACATAAAAGTGGAAAAAAGTAGAAGTAAAAAGAAAACAGAACACGTGTGTAGAATACATATCTCGGCATACAAAAAGAATTGTGTTAGACCAAGAATATCAAGCCTACAGTTATAAGACTTTAATATATTCATTTATTATCAGTTGTTAAAATAAATTGTTTTGTTAGACAGGAGTGAATATTAATTTTATTTAGTTGTCCTATAGGGCTCACAATTGAAGAATAATAAACAAGGTGAGTCAATTCATTCAAAGTGTATTTACTAAGTCCCACATTTCAAATATATATTCTTATTGTTTCTTCTCACTCAGTGTCACAAAAGGTATTAAATTCCCGAATTCCCAACGACAGTTAAACGTCCTCAAAAACTCGATATCCAGATTCGGGGTTTTGTTTTAATAATCACGAGTGTAAATAACCTAGTTCCCCAATATAAAAGAGGAAGGCTATTCCCAATTCCCGCCAAAACAAATTATTTACAATTAACTCTTAATATGTTATTTAGAGTGTTTTGATAAGGTAGGTCATGATAATGTTCAAACTATTTTTAATTCATTCTGGGCACTATGGGATTATGATTTGCAAAATACGTATTTGCCTAAGCTACCGGTAAGTAAGGAAACTAAACATACATCAATAGCAGGAAGACATAGCCGTACACACATATATATATATATCATACGCGGATGATATAGCTGTCCTCGAAAGTAATCAAGAGGATATTGAGAGACTCGCTCGGACTGTATAAAAGAAGCAGAGCAAATCGGACTACAAGTCAATGTACATAAAACAAAATATATACCTTGTAGATCTTTGATCACAAGATGTGGTCTTCTGGTTCCGATTCCTGATTGAAGTACATGGGGGTAGAGTCATCAGTGCTACGCCCGGTTGGTGTAAGTTGTCTCCAGACAGGCCTCACATACCCGGAGGGAAGGGAGGGAGTCTTGGGCAGCGTGGCTTTCCCTGGTGGACGGTCACCGAAATCAGGCGGTCACCCATCCAAGTGCTAACCACACTCGGCATTGCTTAACTTGGTTACCTATTGCAAGCGCCTTAGCCCGCATGGCTACCTCAGCCCCATATATACATATATAAATCAGCAAAAACAATTCACACATTCAAATTGATTGCATATGTAGATCTCCGAGTTATGTCAAAGATGTTAACAATAAAACAAATTTCAAGTATAAACACCATATTAAATAAATACCTATATTTATTTAAGAATTCTAGCTTTTATTTTAGTTACCGTGTAAAGCATATGGTTGCTTAAGCAACATTTTTAACAATGGTTCAAGAATTTAAAATATTTGGTAACCATTGGTTTATAAAGTAGCATTTACATAAATATTGAAAAAAATTAAACTAAAAGAGGATTATAACAAAAATTAATTACTGATAAATGTGCCTCCATTGCAGACATGACTGAAGCAACTTGCTGCAAAAGACCAGCAGCTCTTTTCTCAAGAAGTCCTGCTTTCTCTCTTCCTTCTGGACAGGTCCAATCATCTGAATCCTCGGTGATACTCTGGGCCATCTTGGATAGAAATTATTTATTTATTTATTTATTGAACTATTATATTTTCAACTACATGTATTATTAATTGTCAATCAATTTGCTAATAAATTACATTTATTTAGTAAAAATTAAATAAGATAAATTCTACTTTTGTATAATTTAAGAAAAATATATTTTTTTAATATTATTAATATAAGAAAATATGGTATAAATAAAATGTATGAACGAAAAAAAAATTTGTATACATTGAGCCTTGATATTTTTAATATTTGAAAATAGTAGAGATCTAGAACCAAATATTGATAGTTATATAATACACCAATAATAAAAAATCAATCTTTCGGACCTCGATGATTTTAATCTTTGAAAGACAGAGAACCGGACAAAAATTGAGTAATTCTTAACACATACACAACAAAAAATGTATAAATTTATTAAAATATTCATAGAAAAAAAACTTATTAAAATAAAAAGAAAATTAATGAAGTTGAAACTAAATTACAAAAAAAACAACAAATAAAATCAATAATGAATGAACTGTTGAAAAAATATAAAAGGATTTTAATTTATTATTAAAAAGACTTATTATTGGGTTGGCAAAGAAGTCCTTTAGGTTTTTCAGAATGAAATAAAACTCGATGTTTTATAGACATAAAATTTATTGTAATCTACAATATATTGACCATTATTTAATATGACTTTTTTCCCATATTTCCACTAACTGCATAATGCCATCCATGTTCATAGAATGCCTGGAATTTATTGTTAAAAACTGATCCAAGTGGTTTTTGATGTTCTCTTCCTTTTTCTGGAATTTTTTTCCATTCATGGAGTTCTGCAGAGACCCGAATAAGTGGTAATCACTTGGAGCTTGGTCTGGTTAATAGGAAGGTTGGGGCAAAAAGTCTCATCCAAGGCTCAATAATTTATTGTGAGTGACCAATGAGGTGTGTGGCCTAGCGTTGTCTTGGTAGAACACAACACCCTTCTGATATTCCAGTTCTGGGCATTTATTTTTAATTGATTGATCCAATTTTTTAATTGTGAGCAGGATATAGTTCAATCAATTGTTTGTCCATATGGTAATAGCTCACAGAATATAACACCCTTGAAATCTCAGCGTATGAAAAGCATTATCTTCTTTGAATGCAATCTGGTATACATTCTTCTGGGAGCTCCACTCTAGGTCCCCAAGATTTTCTATGGACTACATTATCTTAAAATATAAATTTTTCATCTCCTGTTACCAACCTTTTCAAAAATGGGTCGTTTTGTTGCCGTTTCCATAGTGAATCACAAACAGAAATGCGTGTTGCCAAGTTTACTTCAGTTAGAAAGTGAAGAACCCAAACATTAAGCCTGGACACACAGACAAGCTTGTGCAAATGATTTTCTACACTAGTGTGCAACACATTTAGGGCCATAGCAATCTCTCGCACTGATTAGGTGGGATTTTGATAAACAATGGCCTTAACATTGCTCGTTTCAATTCCATGTGGTGTCAAATTTTTCTGAATGAAATTTGGCAAACCAATTTTGACAGGTGCATTCGGTTAAGGCATCATCCTCATAAACAGTGAAAACTTTTTTATGAGCTTCTGCAGCACGCTTACCTTTTTTAAAATAATACAATAAAATATGTCGATAGTGAATGATATTTTCTTCCATATCCACAGAGCAATAGCAAACGCAATACTAAGCCAATTTCAACAAGAGTTGACAGAAATAGTTGTTAACATATTGCCAACAGGATAAACAATCCACCATAGAGATTAATTAATCAGATAAGAAGTGTATCATAGTGACATAAAAATAAACAGAAAAACCGAAAGGAATTACCAACCCAATACTCTAACAGCTAAATAAAAATGAGTAGATGATGGTTCCCACAATGTTGTGACCAAGATTAACTTAAAAATTAGAAATGGACAAAATATTAATACAGGTTAATTTTATTTTCTAACAAGATTAACAAAAATCACCTGAACAATTGCATGTATTTTTTGTATGTCCGGTTGAGTTAACCGATTAGATGTTAGATCCAAGCCATAACATAGATCTAACAATTGCTGACATCTTTCTGATAAGGCACCATTGCTGTTGCATGAGTTACGCAAAAATCTTTTTACCAATCCTGTTTTCTTTTCAATAAGTTCAGTATCTTTGTGCCTAAAATTGAATAAAATATTTAAATACAATACAAAAGACACATCTTTCTATACTATCATAAAAATATAAATAATTAATTAGCATTAATAATTAAAGGAGAATAACAAGTGATGTTATATTATTATGATTACATTAAATAGGAAGTGACATTAAGTTTTAATTTTAATAATAAATTATATCAATAAATAGTGAGAAAAATTGGAAATATTTTTAGAACATAAGTAAGGAAGTGAAACTGGAGAGAGTGGAGTGACATTTGACAAAGGATGTTTGTAATAAAAAGAACCTTTAAAAAAAAAAATGCAAAAATCAGACACTATGAAACAGTGTTGAGATTGGTGAGACTACATGGGTCAGAAACAAATGGGCTTTACTAGTTTAGCATATATAATTTTTTATAACCTTTTTTTTTTCTTTATACGATATTTACAACTGTATAAAAAAAATACATCTAATAAATTCGCACATGGATATAATGACATGAAACACATGTTGAGAAACTACCCATTGGTAGCACTCTAATAATATGTCTACATTAGGAGATCACGTGGCCATCTTCTTTTCAAACGCCTCGGAGGGTTATCAGGAATTGAAAAGGAAGCAAGGTTAGAAACAAGAGAGTTGGGATGGTTATGAAGTTTATTATGGAAGGATAGATATCTGGATTGGGCCAAATCTGATACATAAGGAACATTAAGGTCATTGTGGATGATTTTATTTGTAACAAAGTAAGGAGCATTGAGGATTTTACGAAGGGTTTTGGATTGTAAGGATTGGACACGAGAGGAATTCGAAGGTATGGTGGAGCCCCACAGCTCAACTCCGTAAGTCCAAATAGGCCTTATTATAGTCATGTAAATGAGTCTTTTGTAATTAATTGGAAGGTTAGAGCGTTTGTCTAGTAAGTGTTGAAGTAGTCGGAAACGTCGAGCTGTTTCTTGTCGTTTCAGTCCGGTATGAGGATTCCAAGTTAGACGTTTGTCCAGGTGGAGTCCTAGGTATTATATAATCTTAATTATGGCATTGATAACTAACAGGTTTTACGCCTTGACTAAACCAACCAAGTAGAAAAACTATTAAAAATAGAAAGAAAAGCCATAAGACATATCCACCGACCGAGAAAAGTAGAAGAAGAGTATTGGCCTTAAAAAACAAAACAAAGAACTCTATGAAGGAAGTGAAAACTTGGAAACAGCAATGAGGAAAAGGAGATTACAATTTTTTGGGCACATGAAAAGAATGAAAGAAAACAGGTTGAGCAAACAAATTTTTAACAAAGTAATGGACTAAAAATATATCATTAGAAAATATATATATATAAAAATATATAAGAAGAAATATCAAAACTTGGTATTATAGAAAAAGAAGAACTCCAGAATAGAGAGTAATTTAATAAATGTATAAGTTCCTTGTAGTAGAAAAGAAGAGAAAAGGCAAAAATGGAGAGACCAGTGAAGAGATGATTGAGAAAATGAAGAAAGTATAGGATAAGGATATCCCCTTTCCAACGTCAATGGCACATGAATTTCACCCCCCCCCCCCTCCCTCCTCACTCTCAAGCTATTTAATTGCTATCTCTTCTTAAAATTGGAAACGGGAGTAGAATTTAAAAATCGTAGAAAAACATACTATCTGCGGTCTCTTCCATATTTTCCTCTTGTCCCCTGGTTTGAAACTTTTTATTTCGAAAATTCATAACGCATCGAAATGTATGTCCTCTCAAGAATTTTGATGGCGCAATTTGTGCCATCAAACTCCCTTCTGGGCACCTCTGATATGGGATAATAAGAAAGCATAGAAATTATATATACACGCACGGGCGGATCTACGGGGAGGGGGCTTTCGGGCTGAAGCCCCCCTCCCCCTCCCAAAATGAAAAAATATAACCATGTTTTATGGGGGGAAAAAAATTAAAAAATACCTCTTAAAGTATTATTGTTCGTGTAATTACATTTAAAAATACTTCAGGAATAACTTAAACACCATTTCATATAGGTAGTTAGTTTCTTTCTGTTTTTCCAAAGTAATTATCGTTATTTTTATGGGAAAAAAAGGTTTCGGGCTGAAGCCCCCCCCCAAAAATTAAATCCTGAATCCGCTAGTGTATACACGATCCTTCGATAGCCAATATCACGGAAGAAAATAAATACGAGAAAAAAATTTGGAAACGATAGGGAAAAGTACCTAAAATGATTTGAATATTTGAAAAGGATGTCAAACGGGTGACTGCCAAGAGAAGAAAATATGATAAAATGTATTTTAATGGCAAGCCTAAGAAGAACTGAGGTCAGACTTAACAAAGAATTAATAAAGAGTCCATAAAAGTAAAAGCGAGAACCTATTAAGGAACTAGGAAGGACAATCTTGATAGATGATTAAACCTATTTCCTTGTAAGAAAAAAAAATGGTTGGTTTCTCTTTGATTCAATTTATTTGGGAAGTAATAATTTTCAACAAGTGAATTTAGTAATTTTGTTTATTTCTTCATTACATTATCGTGTTTACGCTTCGAGAAAGATTTATTCTTATCATCAGAATTTTTTGTGTGAGCATCAACGATTAACTTTAAAATAATTAAGAAATTCTAATTGGCTTCTGAATTTTTCAGATATGAAAATTAAACACATTCATTTACTCAAAGAATTGATTCAACATTGATGTTAACCTGCAAGGGAGGTTATGTTTGTTTACGGTTTGTATTATTGTTTTCATAATTTACGAGTGTTTTGAATGAATATAGGAAGTGCTGAAGAAATACATATATATTGGTTTTAACAATAAAACTCAAATTATGACGAACAGTGACAAGTCGTTCGATACTGTAGACGAGGATGTATGGAGTATATATGAAAAAGACATTGAAGAAATAGTAGTGGACAGCTATTCTGAAGAAGATATTGATGATGACATTTCCATTGAACTATCGCCAAAACCATTGGCTAAGGAAAAGGAATTTGAAAGAAGAAAAAATATCAACATGATGTATAGTGGCATCCAGAAAATACTTGGAGGGGGTGATGCTGAAGAACCAAGGGTTAGAATACTTAAAAAAGCAACCGCTGCTTGTAAACAATTGTGTCAAGAAGAACTCCACTTAAAATATGAAACAGAACTTCTTTTACAAACAAACTGGAAATTAAAAAAGCGCATGGAAAAACTCCAAAAAAAGAAAAAACGGAAAAGTGGTAGTGCTACTATTTCTAGGAGGTTGTCAGGCCCATTAGTAAGTTCACCGATTAAAACATCACCAGTAGAGAAGAGAAGTGCATCAGTAGATGAATCAAAATCTGCAATTTTGCCAAATATTCCTACAGAACTTAAATCGAACACTGAAGTCATAGAAGTTAGTTCAAAAGGACCCCCACCACCCCCTAAGAATCCGAAGCGAAAAGTTAAAAAACGTACAGGTCTCTCTGATGAAGAAAAGGAATTTTATAAAATGGAAGAAAAATTAGAAGACTTATTGTATGAAATTGATGCACTATGGAATGATGTGAATAACGATGAAGAGAAAGATAGCAAGGTAGATAAGAATTTAATTAAAGAAGTGGAACAGGGTGAAGTTATTCCTGTAGACAAAACAAAACCTTCAGGACAACCAGATCCTATAAAAGTTCCCCAACGTAAAGAAAAAATTAAATTGACAGACATTAATAAGCTGATAGAACCGGAACTAAATCCTAACAAACATAGAGAAGAAATCAAAATAAATAATTTGTCAGCGTTAATAGGAGAGTCATCAGTTGGAAAAAATGTGGAAGTGTTTAAAATAACTAACATAAACAAACTTCTAGATCCTGTACAAAACCCAATCATTAAGTCAATGGATAGTTCTAGTTTTCAGAGCATCATTAATTTAAATGACAAAAGAAGAAGTAGTACATCAGGAGACGAGAGTCCCAGGTTAGTTATTGATGAAAATCCACGGGGAAATGACAAAAATAATATTGACCTAGGAGCAATTGATATGATGGAAGCTCTACAAGCTGTTGATACACTTTGCTTAAGTTTAGTTTCAGATGAACCTACCACTTCCGAGTCTCAACCTGTGGTAGTTGAATTTAAAAAATCCAATAATCCAATTGAAAAATCTGACATAATAGCAATATCTGATTCAGAAGATGAAAATGCCAGTTCAGACATAGTATGCTTAGAATAACTATTTAAGGAATGAAACATGACTGTAAGATGTAGTGTATTATATTTATGTAATATTATATGTATTTAATACTATTATAAATGTAAATAATTTTTTTAATTATATCCTTTAGTATTTTATTCAATTTCATTTAACTACAACAGCTTTACCTTTATCTAAACATTTATGGATAAATCTAACATCAAAGTAAAGTAAGTATGTGAGATAGAAGCCTTATAAGTGAAGGTAAGCCAGTATAAATAAAAAAATCCCTATCAAGAGTGTGTACCTGCTGATATCACTAATTCATTTTTTTTTTTTCAAATTAATTTGTCCCCTGTAGTTCTTCTTATGAAGTATTACTTATTCTGTGTTCTTTGGCCCAAGGTAGACCTAAGCAAAGATGAATGAAATGAGAAAAAAAAGAGTTCCCATGGTTCCACTAATCATGCTATCAACATAAATTTCAAGACCAGTTTTTCATATATTTTCGATGGTCTCAAGAATAACTGCTAAATTATATACCATCCTTGAACTTGTATTGTTGTTGTTTTTTTTTTTCAATAGGTCTTTGTTATCCTAAAGAAGAGCATTCGATAAAAATAAATCCAATTTCTTGCACAAGATCTAATTTTTCCATCTCATCACTCATTCCAGTTAGTGCTAACTTGGAAGGAAGTAATAAATGCTTCTGTTCACTGTGGATAAACTGATTCTCTGCAGCTGGCTGTCCTTTTATGCTTGAGATACCATATTAAGGCAAAGTTATTTGAGCAGACAGTCTGAATAGATAATTCTAATTTCTGTATTAGAAATAAAACATTAATTTTAACATAGATTATTGGGATATCTTATTTTAATTAGTTTTACGATTAAGTTATAAGTAATCTGTTTTTAGTTTATTATATAAATATTGAGTATTAAAACATACCTCAAATCTGTTCTTGCCAATTTTTTAACATATCTAGTTGCATTTTTCCGAATGGTTTTATAATGGCATAGAAATATGAGTATCACAAAAGAAAAGGTGAAGACTATTCCCAATATTAATATGAACGTTAAAATCACTGCTTCCATCACATTGAAGAATAATGTTAACAGTTGTTATTTCCAATAACAATATTACAGCAACTTTTAATATTGGTTTATAAATGATATCATTAGTATTTATGAAACGTCATTTATTAATTGACCGTTTGCTTTATTCTCTGACATTCAAAATGAAATGTTTACAACCTCACTTTGACAAGTATTTCGTTACTCCCACTTGTTGCGTATGTGAGGATGTTTCGATAATATCGATATAGTAATATCGAAAGAAAAGGCCCATATCGGATTTCGATATTTTCTTATTGATCATATTACAATCATAAATCAATTTAATGTTTAAAAATATAAAATGAATGTATTAATATATAACAATCAATATTGTTTAAACTATTCAAATGCAAACCCTTAAATATCTCCATATATTACAAAAGGAAGTCAGTGACGGATCCAGGAATTTTCTCAGGGAGGAGGGACGCACCTCTGTACCAGGTGCTTTCCCCACCCCTACTCTGTAATTTAGCTGCTCATAATATTTTTAATTAAGTAAAATTTGTATAATTTACAGTGAAATAATCGTTAATTACTTAAATTAAATAGTTTTTAGTTATCACTTCCTATTAAAAGAAAAAGGTAACACTCAAAAAACCACAAAACTTTAATTTCCTACTTTTCTTCTGAAAATCGAACCGTTGTTTATTGAACCATTTTTTGTAGTCCTTGAGTTCTGCTATCACTCCTTGAAGTATTTCTATTTATGGGACACTCTATACATGGGTTTAGATTAGACATGTAAAAAACCAATTTGCTATCACCGGACAACAAGGAAAATCTTTTACGTGCAAAAAAGCCGATTTTTGTTTTCTTCTATTGCTACTAAACAGGACATCGAAGCGAAAAGCGAATTGTTTAAGAAAGTAAAGAACGTTAAATTGTGAGTCGAGCAAGTACCTAAACTAAATAATTTGATAAAGTGATATGGCCGATAACCACGGTCAACAAACAATAATTTTTACCAAAATTGTCAAAAACTGAGACAGATTACCATAAATGGCCCTGCAGCTTGGGAATGAATGAGTCCCCTAAGCAAAAAAAAAAAAAAAACAGAATAATTTTCGATTCAATCAAATCGGAGACCAAATAATTAGTACATTCCATCATGAAAACGTTCCCAACAGCAGCTATTTTAATAAAAGAACAACACTTTCTAATGAGAAATATACGAATAATTATCGTGACTAGTTTTATGAATCGCATGGATTTTTCAAGGAGAGTATAGTTGCTGAAGGTTGCAATGCGTCCAGATCTATTAGGACTAAGTAAAAACTGGGTCCAGAAGAAAACCCGTATTTTCTTGTGCTTGAATAAAAGGTTGTTCGAAAGAATAGATCAAGTTTATTTTTTTAAATAAATTTTCCTACATCATGTATTTTACCTGCGACACTCGATTCGGAGTCAATAGGAACAAACTGCGAAAGGAGCACAAGCCTTCCCATCTCATGGCGGCCCAAAAACTCTTTTCTTTAAATAGCTGTTTTTTTTCTAACATCTAGAGTGGGACGCGCCCCCAGGCAGAAATCACTAGTGCTGGTTACGATAGTAACTTTTCTTTATATTACATTAGAAAATTCGTATATGTTTTTTTTTTTTATTTGGGTTTTTCTACAACTTAAGGAGTCATATTCCCAATACCCAAAAGCCTCTGTCCATCCAATCTCCTTCAAGGAGCCCTCTGGCTGCCATGCTTTCCACTACGTCCTCTATTCATTTCTTCTTTGGCCTTCTACGTTTCCTTCTTTCAGGTGGCATATAGGTATAAATTTTCTTTGGCCAGCGGTTCTCATCCATCCGCATTAAGTGGCCATACCACTTTAACCGTTTGGTCCCGATCAGGTGAAGGATGTTCTTTTGACATCCGACCTTGTCTCTAATATCTGCGTTTGGGATCCGCTCGATTCTCGATATGCCACAGCTTCTTCTCCAGAAATCCATTTCCATGGAAAGCAAACTATTTTCCGCCTTTTTTGTAATTGTCCAAGCTTCTGATGCATTGGTGGCTACGCTTTCTACAAAGGAATGTTAGATCTTCTTTTTAGTTTCCAATCTTATTTCTTTACTCCATAGGATAGAATTTATCGAACTTACTATTCTTTTCCCATTGTTTATTTTATCGATGTCAACCACAGTACCTCCCTTTGAAGATGGCCAGTATCCGAGGTACTTGAACTGTTGGCTGACATTGAGCGGCCAGTCATCAATTTCAAGAAGCAAATTTGGAGCGTTGAAAACCATGTACTCTGTTTTACTTTTACTGATTTTCAGACCCATTCTAGAATACGTGTCCAGCAACTTCCTCATCATATAGCTCACATCATCCGGATCCGACGCAATTATGACTTCATCATCGGCATACTGCAAATTGTAGATTACATCATCCCCGATTTGAACACCCATTCTACCGCACGATCTTTTCCAGTCTTTAAGGGATTGTTCTAAATAAATGTTGAAAATCAGAGGTGAAAGGCAGCAGCCCTGTTTCAATCCTTTGTTAATGGGGAAGCTTCTGGACACTCTATCTCCTATTTTAATAACCCCCGTTATATTTTTATAGAGCTCTTGAATTGCTCTGATGAGGTATCTCTTAATAGATGTGGCTTCCAAAGCTTTCCACAATTTCCCTGGAGGTACTGAATCGTAGGCCTTGTGTAAATCTACAAATATCATGTGGAGTTCACGGTCGTGGGCCATCCTCTTTTCTATAAGTTGTGAGAGACTGAAAATGTGATCACTGTATGATCTTCCAGCTCGAAAGCCCGCCTGTTCCTCGCTGATCTCTTCCTTTGAGTCCTTTTCGATTCTGCTTTTAATTATTCGGCCGTATAATTTACTCAGCGAGCTGGTAACCGTAATACCTTTGTAATTGGAAACATCTTTCTTTTGTCCTTTTTTGAAAACTGGGGTGATATAACCCTGCTTCCATTCTTCGGGGATCTCTCCACCCTTCAACAGCAGTGTCATACTCTCTGCCAGTGCCATTTTGAGTTCGGTCGGACCTGCTTTAATTAATTCAATTGGAATAGAACCGGGAGATTTTTTATTTTTCATTCCTTTGAGAACTGAATCCAGTTCTATAATTGTTACTGCCGGTATATCCTCCTTATTTGATATTATTTCATTCGATTGGTTCCATGCAAATTCGGGTCGCTCCTCATGAAATAACTCTTCAAAGTAATTCACCCATCGCTGCTCTTTGATCAATGGGAAGTTATCTCCACATCTTTTGGGATTTTTCAATTTTTTTAATGTCCTCAAAGCAGCACTAGACTTTTGCCCATCAATGTAAGTGTCCACATACTTGCAAGTTTTCTCCCAATAGATATTTAATGCCTTCCTTCTAATAGCTTTTACTTTTTTACAGGCATTTCTACATTCCCTCGGGTCCTTCTCGTTTTTAAAGCTCAACCATTTATTGTATAAATATTTTTTCTCTTGAACAGCCATTTCAACATCCTCATTCCTCCAAGGTTTGTTTTTTCCTCTAACCACTTTCCTTTTCTCTCCAACAGCTTCTAAAGCTGCGGCATGTAGACAGTTTACTATATTCTCGTAATATAGTTGATCATTCAAATCTTTCTCATAATTCAATTTCTCCATCAGTAGGCTTTGGAACAGTCCTTTTACTGATTCTTGATTTGTCATACTATCAATTGAGTATCGAATTGTTTTCGGAGAGTCTGAATTTCCTCTATTCCCTGAGGTTAGAGAGTTTCTAAGAAGATTATAAGATTTAAAATTCAGAATACTCTTTAAAAGAAAGTGATCATAACGACATTCCGGTCCTCTCATTACTTTAACATTGTTCACCTTTATCCTAGTGGTGCGCCTGAGGATTATATAATCTATGATTGATTTTAGACCTTTAGTGGGCTGGTGCCAGAAGAATTTGTGAATTTCTTTATGCTTGAAAAATCCATTTAATATTTTCATGTTTAATTGCTCACATAAATTTATTAAGCTTGCACCGTTATCGTTAGTTACCTCTTCTCCAAAGCGCCCCACGGTTTCATCGTTGAACTTGCTGCCAACACGTCCGTTGAAGTTGCCCAAACAGATAACAATCTTACGGTCAGGTATTCGCTCTATCAAGTCTCAAACGTCATCGAAAAACGTGTATTTTATGGATTGCTTGGAATCTTCAGTTGGCGCATAGATCCCAAAAACAACAAGCACTTCTCCAAACAATGCCATTTCAAGTTTAATTATCCTTTCATTTACACATTCACAATTTTTAATATACCTGCGCAATCTTTTTTTAATCACCACTGCAACCCCTGCTCATGCTCTCTCACTTTTTCCACTCCACTGTAGATATACACAAAATCTCCTGTAAGTTCATTGTAACTTCCTTTGATTTTAGTTTCACTGAGGACTGCCACATCGATATTTTGCTTTTTCAGTTCATTTTCCACCTCGTTTTTCTTAGTCCTCAAACCTTGGACATTCCACCTACCAAAAAACATGTTCCATTTCCGCGCCTTAAGTCGTTGCCGATTAGATCCGTCCGGTTTTCTTTCTGTTTTGGGTTTGAAAGCGAAAAATTTTTTTCCGATGAATGGGTGCTGGCCCTACGATCAACCTTTTTTAAACTGCAAGGACAGTGGTTTGATTTTGGGGTTGCCTTCCCCTAGACAGGTTGCCTTCACTGTGGCTATGAGTCCTGTCCACGCAGGTCGCAGTTTAACGTCATGCCCGTGACGAAAAAAATTGTCTATGAGGATGATTTTTTTCATATATTTCTCTTTTCGCTAAATAGGTGTTTTTTTTTTGGAATTTTTTTTCACCATCCAAGGGAGGGCCCTGGCAGAATTCGTTAGTGCTGGTCACGATAGTATTTTTTTTGTTTTTATATATTACATTAGGAAGTTCGTGTATGAGGATGAATTTCCCCTACATTTCTCTTTTCTTTAAATAGGTATTTTATTCGGATTTTTTTTTCACCATCCAAGGCAGTGAAATAGCAGAATTCGCTAGTGCTGGTCATGATAATCATTTTTTTTTAAATATTACATTAGGAAATTCGGGTATGAGGATGAATATTCCCTACATTTATCTTTTCTTTAAATTGGTGTTTTTTGTCACTTTTTCGGATTTTTTTTCCTCCATCCAAGGGAGGGAATGCCCCTGACAGCATTGGGTACTGCTGGTCAAGATAATAAT